GGAGGCAGGTGAGGAGCCAGGTCCCGGGGAGCCAGGTCCCGGGGAGGGGCTGCGGGGCTGCTGCTGCTGTGCCGGGGGAGAGAATCTGGCCAACACAGGACATGGGACCCCCGTGCCCTCTCCCAGGCCACCCCAGGCTGCCTCATCAACCTGGGCAGTCTGTCCAGGTAGACCCTCTGAATCCTCCTTAACACACGGAACCAGGTGTGATGAGTGAGCCGAGGCAGCTTTATTTGGAGACGGGGCGTCCTGTGTTCGGGAGATGGCTCCTGAGCTAGAGCTCGGCAGTGAGCAGGGCAGGCGAGACCCCAGGGGCGTGCAAACCCACCACCACGGAGCCACCTGGACGGCGGGGGGTCAGGGCCTGCAGCTCTTGGCCAAGTCTGGCCCGCGACCCCTCCCCTGGTGCCGGTGCTGGGGAGGACCCCAGGGCGCACGGAGGCCAGGCGAGCTCTGACCACTGAGCTCACCCACGCCGCCCAGGAGCGAGGACGTTTGAGTGGTTAGGGTTTTGTGGGATCCTCGTCCCCAAGGTGCAGTGTCTCTGCCTGCCGAGGGCCAGGGCCAGTGTCCTGCTCGGGAGGCGAGGGAGCCCAGGAGGGGCCCCAGATGCAGCGCTGGTTTTTCCTCAGGAGCACTCGGGTCCTGGTGGCTTCTTGAGCAGGGGAGGGCTGGGTGGACATGGGTCTGAGCGGCGAGGGTCACCTCTTGTGCTGCACGCCCTGTCCCCCCAGAGAGCATCTCCAGGACCGACAGTCCCAGCAAGATCATCAAACTGGACACCGTGAGGGTGATTGCCGAGAAGGTGAGTGCCCCCTGCTCTGGGCCCTGGACGGGGAAGCTGAGGCCTGGGCGCCCTGTCGGGGCTGTCCTCACCCCACACTGACAGCTCCTCGGAGGCTCTGGGTGGGCGGCCACGAGACCAAGCCTGCCCTGAGTCACTCTGCAGTAAACCTGGGGCAGAGGCAGGGAGACCAGAGGGCAGCTCTGGTGCCCAGGATGCCCACCAAGCGGCCCCAAACCCTGCCCCCAATACATGCTGTGAGTGCGAAGGTGTGGTCCACTCTGACCTCCGACTACCTCTTTCCGTTTCCTCCACCTCTGCTCTGTCTCTTGGGTGTGTTTCTTTCTCTCTCAACACTGCCCACCCCGTGAGCACTGCCCAGGACAAGCATGCACTCCTAGACGTGACGCCCTCTGCCATCGAGCGTCTCAACTATGTGCAATACTACCCCATTGTGATCTTCTGCGCCCCGGAGAGCCGGGCGGCCCTCAAGGCCCTGCGCGAGTGGCTGGCACCCGCCTCCCGCCGCAGTAGCCGGCGCCTCTACACACAGGCTCAGAAGCTGCGGAAGCACAGCAGCCACCTCTTCACAGGTGGGCGGGGCCTGGGGGTCCAGGAAGGGCAGGCAGGTCCCTCCCAAGCATCCCAGCACACTGACACCCTGTCCCATAGCCACCATCGCCCTGCAGGGTACGAGTGATGCCTGGTACCAGGAGCTCAAGGCCACCATCCAGGAGCAGCAGACGCGGCCCATCTGGACAGCCGAGGACCAGGTGCCAGGCACCAGCAGGGACTCGGATGCTTCCAGTGTTGGGGCTCGGGCTCAGGCGTGGCGGGGTCGAGAGTCGACCTGAGGCTGGGTCTTGGCCTAGGCCTGGGGTGGGGCCAGGCTGGGGCTCAGCTTTGGGAGCAGGGTCTCCCGGGGCTGGGGCTCAGTGTAAGCCTGGGCCCTGTGTGGGTCCACGGCCTGTGACCGGCCATCTCGGCCTGATGTCTGAGGACTGGGGTCTGGGAGGTTGAGGGTGGGCCTTTCGCCTGGCTGGGGACCGCGGCTGAGGCGTGTGTCCTGCGTGGGGCCTGGCTGGGGCCTTGGCTCCGCTGGACCAGTGCAGCATGCCCGCTCCCTGCAGCTGGACGGCTCCTCGGAGGACAACCTGGACCTGCCTCACCGCGGCCTGGCCGGCAGCTCCGCAGACCTCAGCTGTGACAGCCGTGCCAACAGCGACTATGAGACGGACGGCGAGGGCTGCACAGACGGCGAGGGTGGGCCCCACACGGACGTGGAGGAGGGGCCCCCGGCACCGGCCCTGGCCCGGTCCTCAGAGCCTGTGCAGCTGGACGAGCCCCAGAGCCCGAGGCATCCTGGGGACATCCCAGCTCACAGGGAGCCCCAGGTGAGTCCCAGCAAGGATCCAGGGACAGGAAGGCTGGGCACCAGGCATGAGCCAGCAGAGTGTCCCCAGCCAGACCAGCTTTGGGGATTCAGGCATGACGTGTTCAAGCCACTCAGTGAATCTCTGAAGCTGCAGGACTCCCAGGGACGCCTAGCTGCAGGTGCTCCATACCTGCATGGGTGTGGACAGGCCCAGGTGTGCCATGCCCCGGGTGACCCCAGGGTTGCTCTGCCACCGAGCCATGCCCAGCCCTTTTAATTCCAAGACAGGGTTTTGCTGAGTGGCCCAGCCTTGGACTTGTGAGCCTCCCGCCCCCAAATACCTGGGATGACAGGTGTGCACCTTTGCAGAGTCACACCTATGTACATATGAAGTGTGGGGGAACTAGGGATGAAACCCAGGGGCTTTTTACCACTGAGCCACGTCCCCAGCCCTTTTTTAAAATTTGAGACAGGGTCTCACTAGCTGAAGGCTGGCTTTGAACCTGTGACCCTCCCGTCTCAGCCTTGGGAGCTGCTGGCCACAGCACCCAGCCTGTGACTTATACTGACAACCGTGTAGCAGCTGTGTAGGTGACCTACATTGTGTCCCTTGGCAGTGGGGGCGAGGGGCGTGAGGAGCCGGGCAGCTACACGTTTGGTAGGGACTTTTTCTCGGGTCCCTGCTGGTAGAGGCGCTGGCTCCGGCTGGCTCCTCACCCAGTGCTCAGCCTCCTCTCTGGGATGCTGGGGTAAACAGCAATGACTGCTGCCTGGGCACAGGCTGGGCCCCTCACCCTAGCCGCCCCTGCTGTGGGTCACTCTGACCCTCCTTCCTCCCTGTCCCTGAAGGTGAACAGCCGCCACCCCCAGGGCCAATGGCGACAGGACAGCATGCGGTAAGAGCCCCCTCACTGCAGGCCCGGGGGCCTCAACCCTTTTCCTGCAACCCAGGCTTTGGGGTGGAGGCAGACGTCCTGTGGCAGGCCCCAGCTTCCAGGTGCGCCTAGCCTAGGGGTGGACGGGGCCCTGTGAGGTCAGGGCCAAGGGCTGGACTCCTCTTCCGGGGACACTGAGCTGGGACTCAGTGCATAGGAGTTCTACACCAGGCCCTGCCCACATGCGTGTGCCAGGCAGCGTCCACCCCGCAGCACCTGCCCTCTGCACCCAGGGGACGATCTGTGTCCTCGTCCCCAGGACCTATGAGCGCGAAGCCCTGAGGAGAAAGTTCACTCGAGCCCGAGACGCAGAATCCTCCGATGAGGAGGGCTATGACTGGGGCCCGGCCACCGACCTGTGACCCCGCCCAGGGGCCGAGTCCTCCTTGCAGCTGGAGTCTGCTCCCCTGCAGGACCTGGAACCCAGTCTCCCTCCCCTGGGCCTTAGTCACATCACGGGTTTCTAGTGACTTCTGAGAAACACAAGGGGCAGGCGGGTGGGCCGGCTTCCCTCTGGCCCCACCGCGACCCACGACTCTGCCCATTCAATAAACTTTTAATTTTTCACGTTAGAAAATAAGTGGCTACATTCTCCTTTGGGGTCCCAGGCAGCTCAGAGAGCCACAGGGACAAAGGCACTGAGGCGGCCCTCACAGGTACACGGGCTGCTCCTGGCCCGTCAGCAGGCGGTAGGTGGCGGCCGGCATGGTCTTGATGTGCACCTGCGGGGACAGGACTGGGCTGAGGCCGGCCGTGCCACAGGGACCCGCCACCACCTCCTCCAGGGCCGCCGCCACGCACCTCGCTGTGGGCCTCGGTGAGCAGCTCGATGATGCGCTCGTGCCGCGTGGCCACCACGCTCTGCCCGTTGATCTCGATGATGCGGTGCCCCACGCGCACACCCCCACGCTCCGCGATGCCGCCGCGGAGGAGACTGCAGATCTGGGGGCCAGAGCGGTCAGCAGCCCAGGCCCACCCTGCCCGCCCCGCCCCGCCCTGCCCCACGCCTCGCCCCAGCCTCACAATGCCGTCCTCCACGCAGAAGCCCAGCTGCTCGCGCGCATGGGGTCTCCGGATGATGGCAGTGGTGACGGGTGGGCAGTGGACGATGCTGAGCCTCACTGAGGTCTGTGGCTTCACCTCCTACGGGGCGGGGTGTTGGCCTCACCTGGGGCTGGGCCCCTTGACAGGCTGCAGCCCCCCCCCCCACCTCGGCTTTCCAACCCGCCAGGGGCCATGCAGGGGCCCTGCCTCCCAGGGAACTCACACGCACAGCTGCCTGGCACGCCGCCAGGGGCAGCCCCACCAGGCTGGTCCCATTGATGGCGGTGAGGCGGTCGCCGATGCTGAGGGCGCCTGAGCGCTCGGCGGGGCCCCCGTGCAGCAGGTTGGCGATGACAGCCGTGGGCAGCAGGGAGCCCCAGCCCGACTCCACCAGGGCCACACCCAGGCCTTCACCCCTGCGCTTCTCGATGCACACCTAGGTGGGGAGCAGGCCACAAGGCTGCTTGGCACAGGCCGGGTGGGGGCGCAGGGAGCCGGGGTCAGCCGGGGCCTCGCTGGCTCACCTCCCTGCAGTTCTCACTGTTGGAGAAGTGGTCCAGGTCCCCGTTGTGCAGGTGGCCAGGGCTGGCGGCCCCCTGGCTGGGCTGGGTGCCCACCTGGCTGGGGTCAATGCCACTCTCCCGCAGGAACTGGCTGTAGGCCACGGTGAAGGCCTGGCCTATGGCTCGTGCAATGAGCTGGGCCTGCGAGAGGTGCCAGAGTCCCAGGCTGTCCCACCCTGCCCTTCAGGACCAAAGTCCCCGATGTCCTCAGACCTGGGCCTTCCTGGCTCTACCTGGGACAAGATCCCGAGGAGATGGCCAACTGCCCTGGGCCTTAGGACGTTGGTGACAGCCAACTGGGGAATCGGGGAGGAGGGAGGGACGGGGTGGTGGGGAACCTGCCGGACACTCAGGAGGGCTTGGTCACACACCTGTGTGGCCTCCAGGGCCCCTTCCAAACCCGTGCTTTCTGGAAGCCCCCCGTAACCCCAGGGAAGATGCAGGGCCCTTGTCCCTGCCTGCCTGTCTGGGGCCAGAGTGGCCAACGTGCTCAATCCTCACACCAGGCTGGAGCCCAGGAAGCCGCGGCCTTGGGGGGCGGGGCTCCGTGGTGGGGGCTGGCCTGCGTGCGAGGCCCTGGGTCCCATCCCAGCACCCGCGTCCACAGTGAATGAAGTAACAAAAGGGCCATCTACAACTCAGAGCCGTGGCCGGGCCGCACGGCCTTCCTCAGCCTGGAAGTGGAAGCCCAGGAGCGGGAGGTGGCTGTGGGCTCGGGGCTTCCAGGGAGGGTGGGGGCCCTAGGGAAGATGGCTGGGCCAGGCGGGGCTCGGGGGAGGCAAGTCCCTGCTCCCGGGGCGCTGTGGGCTCACGTCCTCTGAGTGGAAGACGTGGCACATCATCTTGCACAGGGGGCGCCCTCGGTCCTGGGGTGACCTCCGTGTCAGCCGCCGGCGCGCCATGAGCACCAGCACCGGGCCGATGTCAGCGATGTAGGAGATGGTCTGCAGGGCGTGGTCCATCATGGCCTCCTGGGGCGGGAGGGGCAGCTAGTGCAGGGCTCACCCTGAGACCTCCAGGAGCCACCCCAACCCGCAGGTACGCACGCAGGGTACCTGGGAATCAGCTGTGAGGACCTTGATCCTCTTGGTGGAGACAAAGAGGTCCACCTCCGTCATGGGCTGGGTCTCCCCGTCGGGGGCCTGTGGGGAGCGCAGGAATGGAGGCCCCCAGAGACCCACCCACAGGCCTGGGCCCCGTGCACTCCGCCTGGCCTCAGCCTGGCCTCACCTTGACGCGGTCCATCGCCTCCTGGGCCTGGGCCATGCGCGTGCTGGGGGGCGGGTTCCGCTCCGACACCAGCTGGGTGGAGCCCAAGTATTTGGCCCCAAATATGACACCATCCATGAGGTCCTCATGGTCACAGGGACCCGGTACTGGGGGCAACAGTGGGGAGAGGGTTGGCCCTCAGGAGTCCGGGGCCTGCCTGCCCCTGGGGCTCTGTGCAGGGCGGTTCCCAAGTGGTCTCTGCCCTGGCTCACTGTGCTGGTCACAAAGCTCCACCCACAGTCCAGCACCTGGAGCGGCTCAGCCTCAGGCCCAGTCCTGGCGTCTAGAGCAGCCTGGCCACCCCCCAGCTAGACGCCTCTGCAGGGCCAAGCCGATGGCCAGATCCAAAGCCAGACGGCACTCAGACACCATGTCCAGGGCCCCGAGACCAGCATGGACCCCTTGCCCGCCCGTTTCCAACACCAGCAGCATTCTGGAACCTGGACCCGGCTCCAGTTTGGAACTTGCCAACCAACACCAGGGCCAACTCTGCCTGCTGCTCCTGATCCCCCAATCTGTCAAGGTCGGGTGATAACTCTGCTCCTTGGTGTGGCAGAGACGACTGTCCTGCTCCATGTGGGAACTCCCACACTGTCCTGGGTGGGATGGAAGGCCCTGACCTGCAATTCCAGGACTCCCTGCCGGGTTCCAGAAAGCAACAGCCTGCAGAGGTGCATCACCTCACTCCAAGATGCTAGAAATTCTTCTCTTGTGGCAGGGGGGCTCACACCTGGGGCTCATGCTTGGCAGGCAAGCGCTCTACTGAGGCAGCCCTGGCCCCAGTTCTGGAAGTGTCCACCGTGGCCATGAGGCAGCCCTTCCTAGGGCTCTGTGGTTTGCAGCATCATTGTTCCCAGAACAACCCTGATCTAGGAACATTCCAGATGGTGGTTCTAGAACCCTGGCCCAGCCCCGAGCCGTGCAAAGCCTTGCCCCCCAGGTCTTAGATTTCCTGTGGCCGCCCAGACCCAGAGCTCTGCCACTGCTGTAGGATGTTCTGGCAGCTTCTGCTCCCTGGAGCCACAGGCCCACTCTGGGCAGCCCTCCAGGGCCTCAGACCACAGCCTGCCCGCTGTGTCCGCACCAAGACCTGCCCTGGGACTCTGGAGCTGTGCTGTGCCACAGCACACGGCTGCCTGCCACACACATGTTCCGAGTCTGGTCCTGACTAAATGGCCGAGGGTGAGACACTGCAATCCTGAAGACCACTGCTCCAGAGCGTAAAAGCAAAACAACCTCAAAATAGCCTGGGGCTGGGCTCAGGGGTGGAGCGCGGGCCTAGCACGCGTGAGGCCCTGGTTTGATCCTCAGCATCACATGAAATACAGGCATTGTGTCCATTTACAACTAAAAAAAAAAAAAAAAAAAAACTTAATAAAAAACTGATTATAAGACGATGCAGTAAATGTCTTGTGATAATTAAAATGTATTAAAAAACTACTTTGGCTGGGGCTGCAGCTCAGTGGCAGAGCGCTTGCCCAGCACGTGAGACACTGAGTTCAATCATCGGGATAGCATAAAAATAAATATTTTCAAGGAAAAAAAAGTTAATCCAACCTGTTCTTCAGATAGTTTTTCACGTAGCTAGCTTAAAAATGCAAATTCAGGGCTGGGGATGTGGCTCAAGCGGTAGCGCGCTCGCCTGGCATGCGTGCGGCCCGGGTTCGATCCTCAGCACCACATACCAACAAAGATGTTGTGTCCGCCGAGAACTAAAAAATAAATATTAAGAATTCTCTCTCTCTCTCTCCCCTCTCTCACTCTCTCTTTTAAAAAAAAAAAAAATGCAAATTCACACGTGGCTGGCTCTGCACTTCTACCGTCCAGTCCACTCCAGAGCTTTCTGGGCAGCTGTGTCTTTCTGTGTTCTAGAAAAGGACAGGTGAGGTCTGCCTGCTCCAGGGCTCTGGACTTTCCCAGTCCAAGCAGCACCAGGCGGCTCTGCTCATCAGCCCAGGACGCCGGCACCAGCCAGGCTCCTTGGATGCGGGACCAAAGGCAGAAGGCCAAGCCCTAGAACCCCCTAGGCAAGAGTCCAGAAGCTTCTCAGAGCCACAGGCCCAGTCAGCTCCCCTCCCTGCCACAGAACTTGCTATTTGATTTCTATCTTAAGGTGGTTGGGAAAAACACTAGAACATTCCAGATGGCCAGGCTCTTCTCACACCTTTAGGACACAGACCAACAAACTTCTGTACAAGGCCCAACAGTATTTTCATCTTGTGGGCCAGAAGGCCTGCTGCCTCGAGTCACAAGCCGCTTAATGGCAGGCTGCTGAGAAACACCTGCAGAATGTGGGGGACTCAGCTCAGGATGGCTGTGCCGTCCCCAGGCAAAGCAATCCTCAGGACCACCAAACGGTCTGTCCAGAGGCTGATCCTTCCTTGCGTAGTGCATGACCATCCTGGGCCCTGTCCTCATCCACCTCAGCCACGGACAACAAGTGAGCAGGTGCCATAAGGTTTTGGTAAAACTTTATTAACACTGAAATCTGAATCTCACCTCACTTTCCTTTCAAATTTCTAACCAAGTAAAAAAATTGCAAAAGCCGTCCTCAGCTCAAGAGACCTGTGAGAAGAGACCAGGGCCAGATTGGCCTGCAGATGGTCATTTGCCAGCATTCACTCTGGAACCAACTGCTACAGAGCCATGCCCGCCCTGCCACCTGCTACTCACTCCAGAACATTCTCTGGACTCTGTTTCCTGGCCATCTAAACTCTGATCCAAACTGCCAAGAGCTTCCCGAGAACTTCATCCTCATGGTAACCCTCAGCGCCACCTAGGAGGCAGGCTCTGGCTGTCTGGAACCCTAATCCCTAGGCAGGGTGGGAAGGGCACTCACCCTCCTGGAGGGCAGGGTATGAAGCCAGGGTCTTGGGGCTCTGGAAGGAGACAGAAGAAGGGCAGTGCTGAGTCCCCCTGCTTGACTCCAGGCTGCAGAGGACACCTGGAGGGTGGAGCAGGCACTACCTGGACACCGGCAGGTGGCTCTTCGGGTGTGACCAAAGGAGAGGTCTCCAGCCAGGGCTCAGGGGAACTGCTGGAGCTCCTTCTACCACCTTGCTCGGCAGAGGCTCCCTCTGCCCATTCCGGGGGCTCCGACTCTTCATCTGCATCCTCAGGGGGCTGCAACAGGGGATGGGCAGGCTCTGGAGGCTCCTGGGGACCAGGTTTAGAAGGCGAGTGCCCCTCACCCTGCAGAAGGCTCAGAAGATCATCCCGACCAGCCTCAGCAGACAAGAGACCAGACCGTGGGCGTCAGTCGTGTCGTGGGGGTCCAGGCCCTGGCCAGTGGCAATGTGCAGAGGGCAGGGTGCGCTGTCTGGGGGCAGGCCCATCAGGTCTCCGGGCAGAGCCTCAAGCTGCTGCACCAGGCCCTGAACGCTTGACCCCTCGAGGTCCACCGGACTCAGGCTGCCGAGGGCCTCAGGCACCGCGTCCCACTGACTCTCAGTGCTGAGGTCCTC